AATTACATGGGCAGGATAATGCATACATTTCTTACCAAGCATTGCAGCCTCCTCCTTTGGTTTACCCTTCACATCCCTTCCCAGCCTCCCCCCTCAGACCATTTTCTTAAATTGTCACTACCACGGTTTGAACTTAGCCTCTTCCTTGATCAAAGCTAGCCCTCTGTAGGTTGAGTCTTGCCTCCACCTCTGTTTTTTGATGGTTATGTTTATTTTATAGATAATGGCTTATGGACTTTTCTGCCCAAGCTGGCTTCAAACTTTGATCCTTTGGACCTGAGACTCCCTGAGTAGCAAGGATTACAAGCATAAGCCCCTTGTGCCCAGCTGTATTATTTTTGTTGGTGATGGTGGTAGTTATGGCCCTTGAACTTGGGGCTTGAGTACTGCGCCTGGGCTCTTTTGTACTCTACTACTTTAAGCCACAGCTCTACTACTGGTTTGCTGGTGGTTAATTGGAGATAGAGTATCACATGCTTTCCTGCCTGGGCTGGCTTTATTTGATCCTTAGATGTCAGTCTCCTAAGTAGCATGAACCTACAGCACCCAGCACATATTTTGCTTTTGAAATAGGGTCTTGCTAACTTTGCTTGGGCTAGTCTTTTAAATCAGTGGTGATCTTCCTTCCTTTGCCTTGCAAATACCTGGAATTATAGGCACAAACCACTATGCCCAAATCCATTTTTTTTTCCTTTTTTTTTGTTGTTGGTTGTGGGACTTGAACTCTGGGCCTGGGTGCTGCCCCTGAGCTCTTCAGCTCAAGGTGAGCACTTTACCACCTGAGCCACAGCACCACTTCCGGTTTTCTGGTGGTTAATTGGAGATGAGAGTCTCATGGACTTTGCTTGCCCAGGCTGGCTCAGAACAGCAATCCCCAGATCTCAGCCTCCTGAGTAGCTAGGATTACAGGCGTGAACCACTGGCGCCCAGCTCAGACCATTTCCTTCCTTCCTTCCTTCTTCCTTCCTTCCTTCCTTCCCTCCCTTCTTCCCTCCCTCCTTTCTTTCTTTCTTTCTTTCTTTGTCATGGTCATGGGCCTGAACTCTGGGCCTGGGCACTGTCCCTCAGCTCTTCACCTCAAGACTAGCACTGTACCACTTGAGCCACAGCGCCACTACCGGCTTTTTTCTTTTTGCTTATGTGGTGCTGAGGAATCGAACCCAGGGCCTCAGGCATGCAAGGCAAGCGCTCTACCACTGAGCCACCTTCCCAGCACAGGGCTCTATCTCTTGAGCCACAGCGCCACTTCCTGTTCTCCAGTGGTTTATTGGAGATAAAAGCCTCACTGACTTTGCTGCCTGGGCTGGCTTTGAACCATGATCCTCAGATCTCAGCCTCCTGAGCAGCTAGGAATATAGGCGTGAGCCACCAGTGACAGCCAGCTAATTTTGAGGAGTTTTTGGCCTGGTTGAGAATTTGACTGTGTCTAGTCAGTGGCCCTATTCCTGGAAAGCATGGTCCAGCCCCACACCTGCAAAAAAAAGAAGGGTCTATTGAGGCAGCCACTTAGTTCAATTTAGGAGATATGGGGAGCCCAATAAATCAGTATACCTTACTTCAAGCTATGGTCAGTTGAGAGCTGGATATAGAAGTACACACCTGTAAACCCAGCAGTTGGGAAGCCAAGTTAGGATTGCAGGTCCTAGGCTACCCTGGTCCACATAGTGAGATCCTGACCAAATGAAAAGCTAGAGGTAGGCTGGGAAGGTGGCTCAGTGCTTGCCTTGCATGCATGAGGGCCTGGGTTCTATTCCTCAGCACCCCATAAGCAGAAAAAGCTGGAAGTGGTGCTGTAGCTCAAGTGGTAGAGCACTAGCCTTAGCTGAAGAGCTAAGGATCAGCGCCCAGGCCCAGAGTTCAGGCCCCATGACTGACTGATAGAGAGTTTGTCTAGCAAAGGCCAGGACTCAAACCCCAGCACCACCAAAAGAAAAAGATGATGAAAAAGGTGACATTGATCAAGATGCATAATACCCAGGCTGACACGTTGATTTGAAACCTCCTTGTACAACTACTTAAAGATAGTTAAAAGCAAAAACAAGGGCTGGGAATGTGGCTTAGTGGTAGAATGCGTGCCTAGCATGCATGAAGCCCTGGGTTCGATTCCACAGTACCACATAAACAGAAAAAGCCAGAAGTGGAGCTGCTTAAATGGTAGAGTGCTAGCCTTGAGAAAAGCAGCTCAGGGACAGTGTCCAGGCCCTGAGTTCAGGCCCCAGAACTGCCAAAAGAAAAAGAAAAAACAAAAATTGGCTTCCACCGTTATTCCCAGTAGGTGTGGGGTTCAGATGAACATGCGTGGCCCAGTGTGTGGTTAAGCAGTGAGCCAGCGTGAGCACAGGGCAGTCAGCAAGGGTTTGCCTGCCTTTGCCACCGCCACCGCCACTACTCCTCCCTTTGTACCCAGGCGCAGATGTTGTAGTCGGGAGTGCAGATGGTTAGAAGCCTCTGCTGTGAATTGAAAATAATGCATTTTTCTTGAAATCCTCACCACAGATTGACGACTACAGCATGGTGCGGTTTTTACCATATGATCACTCAGATGAGGAGAGCATGAACATTGTGTTACAGAATATCGATTTTGCCATTCAGTATGGAGAGGACCTGGAATTTAAAGAACCAAAGGTGATTTCTCACTTGAGTTGTTTTTCCTGGCTTGGGGAACATAATTGCCAGTAGCCTCCTACGAACCTAGGTAACTCCTGGAGTTAGGATCTTTGTCTTGAGAATGGTGGTGCTCCCTGGGCTTTCTGGGTAATCTTCCAATCCCACGTGTGTTCAGCGATTGTATGGGTTTTACTTCACTTATTGGAGCAGCCTATCGTCTTCTTTGTTTGTGCTTGCTGGGAGATGTGTGAAAGGAGGTGGACAAGGTATAGTTGAACTTGGAGGAGACTAATAGCAGTTGGCAGGAGAGCGCTGCCACAGCATGGGACAGAGAGCCACTGAATGTAATCCATTATTTTTTGGGTGACATAGGAGCACACTAGATTTGCCAAAGGTCTGAGTTGTTTTCTTTAAGACAAGCACTAGCTAGTAGCCCAGGCCGCTTGGGATCTTCTTCCTTCAGCCTCCCAAGTGGCTGGGATTATAGGCGTGTCCAACCACCCCTACCTGGAAAAATTCTATTATGCTTTTTCTTACCATTAATATTGTCTATAGCAGCTGGGTGCTAGTAGTTCTTGTCTGTAATCCTAGCTACTCAGAAGACTGAGATCTGAGGATGGTGGGTTGAAGCCAGCCTGGTAGAAAAATCCAAGAAACTTTTATCTCTAAATTTACCAGCAAAAATCTGGCCTGGAGGTGTGGCTTAAGTAGTAGAGCACCAGCTTTGAGTGGAAAACAAAGCTAAGGGACAGTATGTAGGCCCTAAGTTTGAGCTCCAATACTGGCACCAAAAAAAAAAAAAGATTGCTTGAGATCAACACCTGAAGCTCACCCTCCATACAGAATAAACGATGCACACTATGACTAAGAAGAAATGAATGCATTTTCTGTTTTGTGTTTCCTTTGTGCCAGGAACAAGAAGCTGAGTCTTCCTCTATGTTTGATGAATATTTCCAGGAACGCGAGCAGGAATGAAGAGTAACTCACTGTGAATGTGTGACAGCAGGCAGTCACGTTGGCAGCACTGGCTGTACTGTGCTCCCATAGGAAGCTGCTGCTTTTAATTAAATAGGTGCACTGGCTCTTTATCAGGAGCACATTTGATTAGAGCTCCAAGTTCCTCTGGAGCTGCTCTTGTTTGAAGTGGTATCTTCTAACCTGGTGCTGGTGGCTCATGCCTGTAATCCCAGCTACTCAGGCGGCTGAGAGCTGAGGATTACGGTTTTAAATCAGCAAGAAAGTCCACGAGATTTTTATCTTCAATTAACCACCAAAATGCTGGAACTGGTGCTGAGGCTCAAGTGGTAGAGTGCTAGCCTTGAGCACAAAAAAACTTGGACAGTGGCCAGACCCTGAGTTCAAGCCCCAGTACTGGCACCAAAAGGGGGGTGGTGGTGGCATCTTCTAGCTGTTCACTGATAGTTCAGTTATACAGAAGGCTGAGATCTGAGGATCTAGGTTCAAAGCCAGTTCAGGCAGAAAGGTTCTCTAGACTCTATTTCCAATTAACCAGTAAAATATTGAGCTGGAGGCATAGTTCTAAGCAAGCAAGTCAAATAAGCATAAGGCTGTTCAAACACTGGTACCAGCAAATATATATACACATATATGTGTGTATATGTATATATGTACATATATGTATGTATATATATAGTATAATTTAGAAAGTAAATGTAACTGAGATATGTGTGCACATACAGGAAAAAAATTAAAAGCTAAAGCCACATGCTTATAATCCTAATTGCTAAAGGCTGAGATCTGAGGTCCATGGTTCAAAGCCATCATGGTCAAGAAATTTTTTGAGACTCTACAATAAACTTTCAAAATGTTGGAAGTGGGATTGTGGCTCGAGTGGCTCAAGTTCAGGGCTAGCTCCTGAGGGCGAGAGTCAGCCTGGCCCAGACGCCCGAGACTCTTACCTCCAGGAAACCAGCAAAAAAACCCAAAGCGGAGCTATGGTTCGAGCGCTTGGGCCCCAGCCTTGAGCGAGAAAGCCAAGCGAGAGCACGGGCCCCAGGGTTGAAGCTCCAGTGCAGAAAGAGGCCATTGCTTAATTACTGGGACTGCGAACCACAAGCCTTCCTAGCTTCGCGTGCACACTACGCATGCGCAGCGCGCAGAGCCTCTGCTAAGTGCGCTGGCGCCCCCTGGCGCTCTGTTAAGCCCGCGCGGGATGCTGAAGCGACGGCCGGCGACAGCCAGGCCGGAAGCTCCGCCTCCGCCTGGCCTCGCCCCTTCCGTTTCACTTCCGCCCTCTCCGCCCAGCCCTGCAGGCCGGAAGCGCGGTGGTCCATTCAGGTCCTTTTCTGCTCCGAAAGCCGAGTGCCGCGGAGATGCCGGTGAGGACTCGGGCCAGGGATGCGGGCGGAGGCGGCGGGGCCCGGAGTACGGCCGGGGGCGCGCGCGCGCAGGCGGAAGAGGGCCGAGGCCGGAGAGGAAGCGGCGGCTGGGGAGAGGGAGCCGAGGGGG